TGTTATTACTTCTCAAGAAATGCTTTGCCACTGACGTGTGGTTATGTATGAAAATGCTAGCTAGCTCTTGTGATAATTGATCCAGATTTTAAATCTCTAGATTTAAAATTAGGGAGAGTAATTGGGAAGAAGATGCTATCCCGGGTGTGTTCTTTGTAAGTAATGACAGAAAACTACCAAGAAAATAGGTGTTTTGAGCCTCTGAGAGATTGCCTCTCTTTAGAGTCGCTGGTATTTTTATGTCACCAAGCTATTCTTTTCATAGAAATGTTATTCCAAATTTAGAAAGAGTGCACAGCAGCTTTGTAGCTTTGTCTTTGTGGACTGAGTCGAGATATAGAGTGACAGGGAAACGTGCAGACACATATGCATTAGTGAAGTCCCACAGAAAGCCATGCTGAGGATTTGTGCATATTTGATAATTTGGCAATTTTTGTTTTGTTCTACATTTTTATAGGAAAATGAATCAAAATATTTCAAAAGCTAAAATGTAAATGAAAAGTTTCAAAAAACTCTAACATAGAATTTCTGCAATTTCTACATAATATTGTTTGATGTAGACTTTCAGAAAATGCCAAGTCCTTCTCAGATTTCCATTCAAATGTGACAATTACTGATGTTAACAATATATAATCTGACCATAGACAGTGGCACAGTGTAGATTTCAATTTTGTTGTTGTTAATCCTCACTTGAGGATATTTTCCCTCTGATTTTTAGGAAGAGTGGGAGAGAGAGGGAAAGACAGAGAGGAAGATCAATGTGAGAGAAACACAAGGGGTGGTTTGGTTGCCTCCTGCATGCACCCTGATCAGGGCTGGGGCCAGGGAGGAGCCTGAAACCAAGGTTCTAGTATGTGCCCTTGACCGAAATTGAACCTGGGACCCTTTGGTCTGCAGGCTGATACTCTATCCACTGAGCCAAACTGGGTAGGGCTAGACGTCAATTTTAAAAATCGTTTTGAGGCCGAACTGGTTTTGCTCAGTGGATAGAGCGTCAGCCTGCGGACTCAGGGGTCCCGGGTTTGATTCCGGTCAAGGGCATGTACCTTGGTTGCGGGCACGTCCCCACTGGGGGGCGTGCAGGAGGCAGCTGATCAATCTCTCTCATCGATGTTTCTGGTTCTCTGTCCCTCTCCTTTCTTCTCTGTGGAAAATCAATAAAATATATTTTTTAAAAAAATCGTTTTGAGCTTTTGGCATCGATGCTAAAAGCTCAAAATAAATTTCCATCAAGGTGAACTTATTAATTTGAGGGTTAATTTTTAAAACATGAATATAAAGATGACTTCATTAGTCATATTAGATTGCTATTTCTTATATTGTTTATGGAATACTTTCTTTTGTTAAATAGGAATTGTGGTTATAAACTCCATCAAGACCTCTTGTTCTGCACTGACCTAGACCGTTGTTAGTCATATTAGTTCTTCATTTTTGCTTTTCGCAGAGTTAAACCCCTCATTATATCTCATTTCCAGACTGTCCTCACCACTAGGAGAACAGTCGGGGCATGGGTCCAATGTCCTTATTTTCCATATTAGAAGTGGTAGACACTGACTAATGTGTAGAGTGTAAGAAGAGGAGAGACAACTTGATGTTGGAACTCTCAGAATCCAGACAGCTTGCTGGATGCTGGAGCTGCAGGAGGAGACCATGACTTCTGCCCAACATCGTGTATGAGATTGAAAGCCAGGCTCTCTCTCTGAGCAAGGACTTCCGCCACCCGGTCGCCACCAAAACTGAGGTCATCTGGAAGTCATGGATGGTTTCTCTCCGTTTGGAACAAGAGAGATTGAAGAAACACCACAAAGATTTTCTGCTGAGCATGTGACTGCCCGGGCAGATGCAGAACGTGTTTGGGAAAGAACTGAATTATTCTTGGAATCTGTGTCAGGGGAAATTTGATTTGTTAGTTCGCAGGCCTGCCAACATAATCCTGCAGATCTTCTCTTTTCTTAATTGGAATGACATTGGGCAGCTATCAAAAACCTGCAAATAATTCCCCAAGATGTGTAACAGTGAAGAATTCTGGGGGAAATTTAGAACTTTACAGAAGAAAAATGTGCTTTTGCCACAAAGATGATAGGTATAATCATTTATAAGAAGCTGCTGGCTTTCACCAAAATGTAGCCCAACAGAAGATCACACAGAGAAGACAGGTGACATTTTTCTAAACTTTACTGAAGTTACTAAAAAAAAAAAAAGGATTTAACTGAACTTTCATGTAACAGTTACTACCATTAAGACCTTGCCTGTAGCTGAGACCATAGGCAAGCAATTATCTGGTGGGGATTTGTTGGTAATTTGTTTAAGAAAAATCCTCTTGACTCTGAATATTGTTCTGAAAATAAACTTATTTTCTGTCAAAAAAAAAAATCCACAAGGCAAGTTGCCATCGTTCTGGGGAGAGTGACAGCTTGAGTGCAGTACGTAAACAACTCATGTTTTGAGTGCTAAAATTGTTATCACAAATGGCTTTCCTTTTGTCAACATGATCCCTTTGAGTTCTAAAAAATTAGATATTTACATAATCTATATGTAGTCCTTGCCAAGGCATGACCTATAGCTGTGCTTCTTACACATTTCCACTAGCGGAGGGCAAAGTGAATGCATATGCCCAGGTGCCAAAGCATCCCATCTATGTAGGGAGCTTTCTTTTAGTCTCCTGTTTTCTCTTCATCTTTATGAATAGTTTACCTTCTATTTATTGTCCTTGATTAAATATATAAATAATGACCACATTTATTTATTTATTTTTAAATAATCCTTTATTGTTGAAAGTATTGCATATGTCCCCCATTGACCCCCACCAGCTTGTCCTCATCCCCCCCACCCTTGCCCTCACCGCCCCATTGTCTGTGGCCATGGGCCATGCATATACGCATACAAGGTTCTTGGTTGATTACCTCCCACACACCCACCCTCCCACACCTTCCCTCCAAGACTCCGCACTCTGTTCCCTGCTTCCATGTCTGTGGACCCGCTCTGTTCATCAGTTTATTTTGTTAGATCCCACTTATGAGTGAGATCATGTGATACTTGTCTTTCTCTGACGGACGTATTTCACTTAGCATGCTACTCTCCAGGATTAATGACCACATTTATTAAACATTAAATCACTTCCATTTCCCCCAAACTGGTTGAATAAATTTGATGCCCCCAGATGGTCACTGTGAGAACCAGCTTCCCCCTTCTTGGTTGACTATGGCCTACTTGAGTGAAAAAACTGCTTCTTATTCCTTTCTATATTCCCCAATATCTGGCAGAGCGCTGGGCATAGAGTCACTATTAATAAATGTGTGCTTGTGTTTAATGTATGCCTGTGTCCCCTATTAGAGTATATGTATGATGCTCAATAAATATTTCATATAGAATATTGGATGATAGTATGTTTACACTAGAAACATGTATTTTTAATCTTGTAAAAACCTCTGTGTGAAAAAAATATGTACATGTTTTTGGTTCTTAACTTTCAACTTGACGTATTGAGATGTCTAGACCATATGGGTGTAAGAGCAGTTCCTCTTTGAATATAGTGCTCTATGTAGTCAGCATCAGAGTTTTCAGATCTGAAGTTTTCCTGTGGCTGCGTATTTAGACATTCTATCTGATTTCTTTTTGGTTTTTTTCATGGTTATTTTTTATATCTCCTATTTTCTTTGACATCCCCTCACTATTCATATTTCTTTAAATTTGATGAGCATATGTATTTCATGATAATTGTACTTATGTCTGATTCTGTAATTTTTTTCCTTTGGCACATGAGCTCAGAGTGGTGGATTGTTTCTTGCATATTGTGATTTTTATTATTTATTTATTTTTAAATATGTATTTATTGATTTTAGAGAGAGAAGGGAGAGGGATAGAGGAGAAAAAGAAAACATCCATTGGTTGCCTCCCATACGCACCCCAACCAGGGACCAAACCACAACCTGGGTCTGTGCCCTGACCGGAATTGAACCAGTGACCTTTCAGTGCATGGGACTAGTGCAACCAACTGAGCCGCACCAACCAGGGCCATATTGCGATTTTTAATTGTGCGTTCACGTTCCCTGAAATTTTATCTGTGTGATTTCTTTGAGGCCTGGTTTTAAAGTGACTCCATCTCATTTTTCCAGTGGCTGGGACCGTTTTAAACTGCATTGTGGGTTTCTCTGAGCCATGTAACTGGTGTGATTTCTGGCTCTAGTCCAGCATCAATTCAGGCTTCTGGTTGGAATTTGCCCTTCCCCTTCAACTCCCCAATTCACCTAGAACCAAACCCTAAAACCCAGACAAGTTCCTCCACTATCTCGCTTGTTTTTTTTTCTCTTTATAATCATGAAAATGTCACTATTTGGGGCTTTCCAAATTCACAAGGAATCTTTGACCTAATCTCCATCACAGTGGCCACAGTTTTGTTTACTACCAATGTACTTAGGCACCTGGACCCATCCTTCTAGCTTAAATGACTTGGAAATCTCGTCAGGATTAGCAGATGCGTCTAGGGCAGGGGTGGGCAAACTTTTTGACTCGAGGGCCACAATGGGTTCTTAAACTGGACCGGAGGGCCGGAACAAAAGCATGGATGGAGTGTTTGTGTGAACTAATATAAATTCAAAGTAAACATCATTACATAAAAGGGTACGGTCTTTTTTTTTTTTTTTTTAGTTTTATTCATTTCAAATGGGCCGGATCCGGCCCGCGGGCCGTGGTTTGCCCACGGCTGGTCTAGGGCAAACGTGCAGCATGGGGTGGGGGTAGGGGTTGGAGCCCGTGGGTGGAGGGGGATGGAGGGGAGTTTACTGACCTGTTTGAAGTTTGTTTTCTCTTTGATGATGACCTCTAGAGAATTTCTCTTTTTTGTTTCCCATAGATATATGCAAAAAATAATATTAAAATACTTTCATTTATATTTAGGAGAAATTGGAAGAGATCTCTACTCTTATCTAGTTTATTGGAAACAATAGCTCTTGAATATCTGCTGTGTGTAAGGCATGCTAATGACCCTCACACTGGAAAACATGGCCATCCTCTTCGCTAATGACAATGGGAAACACTCAGTGATCCTTACTCCTTCTCCAGCCCATCTGGTGGCAGGCATTTTTATGATGACTGAAATTCTTGGGGTCTCTGTGTTCTTATCCTACGTAATAAAAGCTTAATATGCTAAGTGTCCGACAGTTCATTTGACCGGCTGCTATGACACTCACTGACCACCAGGGGGCAGGCATTCTGACCGGTAGGTTAGCTTGCTCCTGGGGTCCAGCTGATCAGGAGTGGGTGAGACAGACCAGACACACCCTGGAGCCCTCCCACTGTCCCTCCCCGGCCCCAATCATGCACCGATGGGGTCTCTGGTCCCAGCCTGCTCCCTCTCCTGTCCAGCCGGCCAGTAGCTATGATGTGCACTGACTACCAGTAGCAGATGTTCAACGCAGGAGCAGCAGCTCTTGGGTGACACAACCCGGAACCAGAGAGGAGGGAGACCGATTCCTCACAATTCCTCTCATACTCTGGGACCCCTGGGGGGAAGGAGAGGATGTTGGAGAGCCAGTTTCAGCCCAATTCCTGCAGGCCAGGGTGAGGGACCCTACCTGCCAGAGGGCCCCTGCTCACTCTGCAGATGCCCTTTGAGCCTGCCCAGGTGTGGCAGACTGGGGAGAGACGGCAGAAGGTTGGCTTCAGGGCATGTCCAGCCCATCTCACTCCGTCCTACCCTGCTGGCCACCATCTGGGACCTGCACCGGAAGGACTAATTAATTTCCTTTCAATGTGCATGAATCCATGCACCGGGACACTAGTCTACAATAAAATGGTGTTGCACTAAATGATCTTTACAGATCCTTCCAGAGCTAAAGTTTTTGACCCTATGGCCCTGAACCACTATATTTCCCCCCCCCCCTCATTTTCATTCTTCCTTCTTACAGTGATATCACCCCTATTCTGTGCTCCTCCCACAGGTTGCTTCGCTGGGAGTCACGACCTTCACCTTATGTGCTCTGTGTATAGACCGCTTCCGGGCGGCCACCAACGTGCAGATGTACTATGAGATGATCGAGAACTGTTCTTCCACCACCGCCAAGCTGGCTGTCATATGGGTGGGCGCGCTCCTGTTGGCGCTTCCCGAGGTGGTCCTTCGCCAGCTGAGCAAGGAGGACGTGGGCTTCAGCGGCCGCGCCCCCGCGGAACGCTGTGTCATCAAGATCTCCCCGGACCTGCCGGACACCATCTACGTCCTAGCCCTCACCTACGACGGCGCGAGGCTCTGGTGGTACTTCGGCTGCTACTTCTGTTTGCCCACGCTGTTCACCATCACCTGCTCCTTGGTGACGGCGCGGAAAATCCGCCAGGCGGAGAAAGCCTGCACGCGCGGGAACAAGCGGCAGATCCAGCTCGAGAGCCAGATGAACTGCACGGTGGTGGCGCTGACCATCTTGTACGGCTTCTGCATCATCCCCGAGAACATCTACAACATCGTGACCGCCTACATGGCCACCGGGGTTTCCCAGCAGACCATGGACCTGCTGCACATCATCAGCCAGTTCCTGCTGTTCTTCAAGTCCTGCGTCACCCCGGTCATCCTCTTCTGTCTGTGCAGACCCTTCAGCCGGGCCTTCCTGGAGTGCTGCTGCTGCTGCTGCGAGGAGTGCGCGCACAAGTCCTCCGCGGCCGCCAGCGAGGACAACGACAATGAGTACACCACCGAGCTGGAGCTGTCCCCGTTCAGCACCATCCGCCGCGAGATGTCCACCTTCGCCTCTGTCGGAACTCACTGCTGAAGGACACTGGGTCTGGTCCGATTTTTTATTTTATTTTTTATTTTCCTACCCTGGGAAAGTTTTTACTTCCTATTTTTTTCCTGACCGGGAAAGAAATGCAGACAAAAAGAGAGAGAACTATTAACTACTGTAGAACTGATTTTGCAAATTAATATTTGTGCTTGGAAAAGAAAAAAGGTTTATATTTAGTTATTGAAGAAGTCCGAGGAGGCCAATAGTTTTAGATAATTTTATCTGGTATGGTGCTAATATTTTCTTTGGGGAAAAAAAAAAGTCCTCGCACCCTAATGAATTGCTAATTTTCTTTCTTTTCAAAATATAATCGCTGTATGTTGATGATAGCCATGTGATTTTGTAGGTGATATTATGTTTGAGTTGTAATTGAAAGTATATTGTACATATATCATGAGATGATTTGTAGATAAGAGACATTCACAAAGTAGCACCAAATAAATGACACTTTATTCTTTAATACCATTGTCAATCTGCTTTTAACCAATTTTCAATAAATCTTTTAATTGCCTTAAATACACAATTACTGGTTCTATGCACAAGTTAAAAATGGCCTTATTGTTTTATAATTTTATTTTCCTTCAAGGCAGGTCATCACTGTGTTATAAAGTCTTCTTAATACAGTAGTACTATTTTATATGCATGGCTCAGAAAACTATATCATGTTAAAACAAATTGTATTTTAATATTTAGATACAGATGTAAAATTACTTCCAAATATTTACAAAATACAAATAAACAGACAGCAGAGTAGGAAGAAACTATCTTTTTTTATTATTTTTTTTAAATTTACCTTTCAACTAGCATGTAGACCTGTAGGGTTTCCTATAAGGAATAATGAGCTGAATTAAGGACTAAAATACAATGCACTCGTCACCCACTTCCCTCTGAACACTGACCTTGCAGCGCTGTGACTCTCTTGGGAAGCACTCTGAATACTAATTTTCCTCCTTTTAAACAATGAACTTGATTAAATCTGTGTGATCTCATGTCTTTAAGTAGACTGAAAGTACAGTAGTGGAGTAATAAAATATTTATATATCTTGATTAGAACACTTGAATATTCAAATGCTCCCTTTGAATTGGCATTCCGCAAACTTCCAACAAAAAACAAACCCTCTCCATCTGAAGACTTCGAATTCCTTAAGGAGTTCAAGTTGCAGCAGCTGTGCAGGATGCCTGCCAGGTGGGGCACATGTCTAAATCAGAGGGCAGAGGCGGTGACCTGGTGACACAGTGTGGCAGTGTGGCAGTGTCTGTGTGTTCAGAACAGTTATGTAGTGGAATCCAGTGTTCCGGCTGGAAACCGCCCTCTGTGCTTTCGGCACTGTTTGGCATAGCTGAGTAGCACCGTCTTTCTTCCAGGTTATAACGTGATGCTTTTTTAATCATTACACTTTAGTGCTAGAAAAATAAAGATACTTAATCCAGACTATTCATCTTTCACATGAAACCCAGGTTCTGACAGTGCCCAGGATACCTACTCCTTCTCAGTCAGTACTGTTCAAAGGGATTTCCCCCACCTTCTGTGTGTATTCTGAGGGATTTGAAGGAGAATAAGAACAAGGCATCATTGCTTTACATATCCCTGTAACAGGTCTTTGGAAGACTTCTCAAGGACGCTTGAGCTAGGTTTTGGCCGCTGAGCCGATCAACAATTGTGATGCCCCAGTGTCTCTCATAATACTTACTCAACTTTATAAATAAACATTGGCTGAGCAAAGGTTCGATGCTATTACCTGCTGTAGATAAAAGTATACAGAGCTCAGGGTCAGACTTTACAAAACCAGGCAAGGGTGGGATGGGAATGAAGGCATACAACAGGTAAATCAACAACTCTGATATCAGGTGGGACTTGTTAGGAAGGTGTGAAGTTCTAGGATGGTTCACAGCTCAGGGTGGAGGACATCATGAAAGGCTTTAGGAGGTAACTGGGTGGATAGGCTTCAGCAGGAGTTGATGAAAGGTAGTATGAGAAATGGACATCTCAGGATGAGAGAGTTCATTAAAGGAGTAGAGGAAGGAATCATGAGGTGTGGTTGAAGAATAAGTGAATAGTCCAGCTTGGTTCCTCTGTTATATGTGTGTAGAAACCTCATGGAAAATACTGATGAAAATAGGCATTGAGACCATATCATAAAAACATATGGCCTTATGTCTTGGCATTCTATATTTGTGTTCACATGAGAGGCCCTGCCCTTCCTCTGCCCCATATTCTCATACTGTGCCAGGTGTGGTGAAAACAGACATTGAGACTATATCATAAAATATTTAAGATGCTTCTGTTCAAGAACATTCTTTTCTCCAACCCTGCCCCCTCATTTAAAAAATAGATGGACTTTTTTCAATCTTCAAGAACTCTCCAAGGTAACACGTGACGGTTTCTTCCTAATGTTTTGAATTCATCTTGCACTTGAAAGTATTCTTCAATTACTTTCTGTTGGTTTTGGCTTCCTATGTTCTTTTTCTAGGCAGCATATTCCAGTATATCTGATTACAGCTACCTTTTTCATAAAGAAAGAAGGAACAACATATTAAAAGTTTCTACAATTTTACAGTCATGTTTTATGAATGTCCCTTCTCTCTGGTAAGCAGAAAGTGTTTTAGTGAATGCAACTGAAGAACATTTACTGAGCTCCACTTTTGCTCTGCTACTTACATTGTCAGTCTTGGAATTTGAAATCACTCAACATAGGGCCTGTATAATAGACTAGAGGCCCAATGCACGAATTCGTGCACAAGTGGGGTCCCTTGGCCTGGCCTGTGGGAATCGGGCAGAAACTGGCTCTCTGACAGCCCCTGAGGGGTTTTGGATTGCGAGAGGGCGTAGGCGAGGCAGTGGGACCCCATTGGTGCATGATCAGGGTGGGGAAGGATGCAGGAGGTTGGCTAGTGGGGAGGGGTTATGGGAGGGCCCCAGGGCATGTCAGGCCTGTCTAGTTCAGTCCTGATCGGCCAGACCCCAGTAGCAAGCCAACCTGCCAGTTGCAGCGTCTGCCCCCCAGTGGTCAGTGCACGTCATAGCAAGCTGTTGAGCGGCCTAAGCATATCATTAGTATATTATGCTTTGATTGGTTGAATAGATGACTGGACACTTAGCATATCAGGCTTTTATTATATAGGATGGGAATTACATTATTTTAGAGCCCCAAGTGATCTCAAAGTCTTCCCATATTACCCAAATCTTTATATGTACAGAGCTGATCCTCTGAGTTTACTGACTTACACAAAGTCACATAATTTGACCCTGGTTGATTTAGAATAAGAATTCTAAGAATAGCCCTGGCCGGGTGGCTCAGTTGGTTGGAGTGTTGCCCCTCATACCAAAGGGTTGCAGGTTCGATTCCTGGTAGGGGCATATACGGGAGGCAACAGAGCCATGTTTTTCTCTTGCATTGATGTTTCTCTCTCTCTCTCTCTCTCTTTCTCTCTCTCTTTCCTCTCTCGCTCTCAAAATAAATGGAACATATTATTCTCAGTCAAGGATAAAAAAAATTCTAAGAATAGAATATCTCCTTTCAGAGATTATAAACAATAATTCTTACTACTTGACCAGTACACTCGCAGCAATCTTTAAAACACTACATTTATTTGGATAACATATACTACGTGTTCATTATATGTTTGCTCAATGAAAGAATAAGCAAATATTTAAACTGAAAGAAGATGCAGAAACATTGTTTAGCAAAGTACAGAAGGAAAACCAGGACTTTGAGCTAAGAAGCCATGACAAAAGAAAAAGTAAGAAAGTATAGTTTTCTTGTAACAGTGTTCAGACCGTAAATGAGTAGTCCAGCATTAATCATATGATGTACATATCTATGGCCATACATGTAGTATGTTTTTTCAACAAAATATAACATCTGGCTGCTACCATTAAATCTTCAAACTTCTCGATCTCAAAGTTACTAAGTCCAGGTAGCCCAAAAGCCACTTCAGTACTTGGCTCATGTTCTTTCCCTCATTCACTCCATTCATGCAGCTAACCCTATATGCCAGCACTGTGCTAAATCTCAGGGACATGACAGTGTATGAATTAGATATAATTCAGTCCTTTTTCCAGTTAACAGTTTACAGCTGTTAAACATTATTTCCTCCATTGACTATTTAGCAAAAACGTGAGTAGTGCTGAGCAAGAAACGTGCTCTGGGAGTATGCGATAGGGGAACCTGACCGACTGGTAAAATCAGAAAAAGTTTCCTTGAGGAAGTGCTAGGAAAGGGTGAGAGGTGGCAAGGGGATGAGTCCAATAGAGGGAAGTCCTGTGTTAAGGCTCTGTGTGAAGACAGAGCAAGTTCAGCGAACAGGGAAGGCTGTCATGCAAAAAGCCAAGGCAAGCATAGAGTAGTAAGTAGCATGAAACCAGAGTTTGAATGAAAAAACTGTCTGTTCATCTTCAATAGATTTCTGTTATGTGTAGGTAGAATAAATTCAATTTATCAATGTTACATTGACCTTCTGTGGTTCATGGGAGACCAGTCATCATTGTTATTAGAAAACTGACTTCTTATGTAATTAAATCTGTCTCAATTTTTAGTCTTGATTTTTCATTATAATTCACTGAATGTGCTTCCACACTTGTTCTTCAGATATTGCAATCTGAAATGCAACAATTTGTTGATTGAAGAAATTGTATTGGTATTAGTAGAAGAGAATTATTTACTGTCATAGTAATGAGTACTTCTGATCCCTAGAACTCGGGTGCTAAATCAACTTTTCATTGCACTCTATAAATTTGTAAGAGGATTAGAAGTCTTTTGGCTCAAGTACTCAGAATTTGAAGATTGATTTTAAAAATAGTATGGTTTAATCAATCTTGACATGATCATTCTCTTGTAGTAGTAATACTTTAATCAATCACATGGCTGTTAAATGATATTTACATTTCCTATTAGTCGATTGTTGTCAATTCTAAAAACTGGATTTAATATTTTTCTTGTATTTTTAAGACATATAAGTAATTCATATGCAATACATTCTTTGAAATCCATAAAAATCTCCCGAGTTGAATGAATGCTTTGCTATATGGGCAGGCATGTGATTGATTTGTCTTACACATTTTATATCTGCTGAATTTACATATAATCATAGACATTTAGAATTGTTCTATTTAATCATAATTTATTTTCCCAAGTTTTAAGAGAAATGGTCTCCTGTAATTTTATTACTCATATTTGTATCAATATTATATTTAGAAATTTAGGTTGACTAGGATTTCTTATCCCTAATCAAATATTTTAAACTTGATAAAATCTGAAAACTTGTCTCAGATAGAATTTGAAAATTTAAGGGATAGTGTCTTTGAGAGAGAGAGAGAGAACATCTGGAATGTCTAGAAGAGATCATAATGATTGTGAGGGAAGCTTTCCAAAGAGTTCATAAAATGACAATCATATTTTTCTTATACCCTTAAGTGACTTTTCATCCTGAATATCTTATTGGGTCTAATTCCATTTATAA